CGAGACTGTCGTTGAATGCGTGCCGGAGCCTTGAAAAGTAATATATTTTTGGAGGATCCAATATGGATGCGGTATTATTTTGGAGAGTCCATGCAAAATAAGCCGTAAATTGTTTTTCGAATTTAGGAAGGTATACTTCGTAACTTTGCCTATCTGAGCTTGCTCAGATTGTCGGCCACAAGCTCAGGTAATGGACAAGGATTGTGGTAGGCTAACAATTAGTATAAAACTAGTCAATTCATGATGAATCATCGAGAAAAAACATGGTCAATAATGATTCATTTATCCGATTCATAACTTATTTAGGATTGAGGTGTAGTTGTATGAAGTTATACTTCGTAAGAGTTCCAATGTTATACAAACTTTTTTGCTTTATAAATATTGTGGTAGCTCCAAAAAATCCTTAAAACTTCTTTTTTCAGAATTACTCTAAGTGAGGCTTTAGTTTATCTTGGATTAATCTCTACAATAAAATAGTGAAAAAATAGTGAATGTAGAGGTATTTTTACACCTACTAACTTGTATTCTTAATTTGTTCTTTACTTGTCATCAAAGAGTATTAGGCAGACAAATATAAAGGAATTTCTTGTATGAAGTATTTCATTTATAAACGTTGTTGAAGTAGAGTTTTCCAGAAAAATATCTCTAATGAAAATATTGGAATTTTTTTTTTATTGGTCCAACTAATTTTAGCTTGTTGATATGAAATTCTATATTTTTATATAATATTTTATTTATAATTATAATTTTTCAATCCTTAAAAAAGTTTGTGAAAAAGTTTGTCAAAGAAGGTATCCATCGGATTCCCCCTTTCTCTCTTTCTGCCCTAATTATGAGGTACATTGCATGTCTTCCAATGCAAGTCAAAAGGAATGGACTTTAATATACACATCAATTCCCACAGCTAGTTTTGAAAACTAATGCACGTATTAAGTCAGACTAAATATTAATGGAATTTTTACCTAACTATACTATAATAGAAATCTATTTACTATTTTTATTTAGGTTTCTTGTTAATTACTTTATATACCTATATTTACTAGTTTTACACAAAATCATAAAAAAGAGGAAATGCAACATACCTTAAACATAGCGTATCAGTTATGTATAGGGAAAAAACTGAATTTATATTGAAGGTGACGTGGCATGACACGTGGACTGGTCAAATGGTCAAAACATGATGATCAGTTAAGAGGCACGGGCGATATCAGATACGAGGAGAAGCAAGTTAAATAGGCACGAGATGCTATTCAAATGATACGAGTCTCGTATCTATTTAACTTAATTAAAGTCAGGAGGTCAGAAGAAATTGAAGATATGAATCTGATGGCATAAAGGAGTCTAAATTCAGTATTAAATGTCAAATACGTTAGCGAATCCGTATTGAATAGGAATGATTGTGTAACGTTTCATTTAATGTCATTTAATGCTCATAATTGCCTCTTTAAGGCTAAGGCATTATACCTTTTCCTAGAAAAATCAACTATAAAAGGAGGAGGTCTCAGCATTTGTAGGGACACGAAAAATCATTGAGATTACATTGAAATACAAACTTATTTACTGCTTTATTATCCTCAAAAATTTCTTACTCTTTTCGTCTCCTGATTATCAGTAACCCGATTTTTTCTCTTAATTTCTAGTTTTAACCGAAATTCTATTTTTTGATTAAACAAATTGATTCCGTTACCGGGAATCTGATAATCTATTCCTTTTTAAGTTACATTTTATTTATTGTTATCATCATGTCAAACGACAACAACAACAACAACAATAATGCTGATGAAAATCAAATCCATCAGAATCAAGGAGATTTACACAACATTAACGTAGTTCCTTCCCCTCAAAATTCACCACATCAATCTCGTGAAGGTACTCCTGCACCAGAATCTCATGCTGACGAGCAAGGACAATCTGAACATTTTGAGGGACCAGATGAAGCTTTATAAAAAATAATTGATGCACGGGTTAGCCAAGCTCTTCAAGCTCTAGTTAGCCGGTTACCTGCTGCATCACCCACACCTACACCTAATAACAATACATTGGAGAATCCACGTTCTAGCCTTGTTAATTCTACAAATGAGGGAACCCCCAGCGAACCACGAGAAACGGATCCAGGTAATACAAATAATTCTCATTTACAAAATTTGGTACTAACTTTGCAGAAACAGCTCAAAGAACAAAACGAGCGCATCGAGCAAATCCCTGGAGTCCCCCCAATAATCAAAGGAGTAGATGTGGATAAATACTCACAACAACCTTGGAAACCAAGTGCTGCTCCCCTTCCAATCCCTAAAAAGTTCAAAATGCCTGACATCTCAAAGTATGATGGCACAACGGACCCACATGATCATGTGACGACATTTACTACAGGTGTTAAAAGGCAATGATTTAACCAAGCAGGAAATAGAGTCCGTGTTGGTCAAGAAATTTGGAGAAACACTCACCAAGGGTGCACTAACCTGGTATTCTCTTTTGCCTGAAAATTCTATAAACTCTTTTGCTGAGCTTGCAGATTCTTTTATTAAGGTGCACTCAGGAGCTCAAAAGGTTGAGAAGAGAATGGAAGACATTTTCAAAATCAAACAAGGGGACTCAGAATTGCTCAGAGATTTTGTTGATAGANAAGTCACGCTGGTGGGAGGTCGACTAGTAAAAACATTGATTCGAGCAGGATATTATTGGCCCAAGATGGAAGAAGAAGCTAACGATTTCGTGTCTAAATGTGATAAATGTCAAAGATACGGCAATAATATGCATAGACCAGCTGAGTTACTCCACCCTGTCATAGCTCCGTGGCCCTTTATGAAATGGGGAATGGATATCGTAGGTCCATTGCCACAAGCAAAAGGTCAGGTAAAGTTTCTACTAGTGCTTACCGATTACTTCACTAAATGGGTAGAAGCAGGGGCATTTAAACAGGTGCGGGAGAAAGAAGTTAAAGACTTCATTTGGAGAAACATAATATGCCGTTTTGGGGTACCAAAGGAAATCGTGTGTGATAATGGACCACAATTCATAGGAGCCCAAATCACAGAATTTCTTCAAAGTTGGCAGATTAAAAGGATAACATCTACACCATATCATCCAGTGGGGAATGGACAAGCGGAATCCACGAATAAGGTTATCATCAACAACTTGAAGAAAAGGTTATAGGATTCGAAAGGTAATTGGCCCGAGTATTACTTGGGGTATTATGGGCTTATCGTACAACGACAAAAACAAGCACGGGAGAAACCCCATTTTCAATGGCTTATGGTGCGGAGGCTTTGATTCCAGTAGAAATAGGAGAACCAAGCACACGGTACGTTCAAGCAACGGAGGAATCAAATGATGAAGAGATGCGGGTGAATCTTGATTTGTTAGAGGGAAGAAGAGAAGCTGCACTAATAAGAATGGCGGCACAAAAGCAAGTAATTGAACGATATTATAACAGGAAAGCACGCCTCAGATTCTTTAAAATTGGGGACTTCGTGCTTAAAAAGGTGTTCCAATCTACAAAGGCTGCTAATTCAGGAAAGCTGAGTCCAACATGGGAAGGACCCTACAGAGTTCGAGATATTGCAGGAAAAGGAGCATACGAGTTGGAAACAATGGACGGGAAGGTGCTTCCTTCACATTGGAATGCAGTTCATCTAAAAAGATACTACTTTTGAAAAAAAGTATCCACGGTCAGGTATCTCTATGTTAAAATTCATTTTTTAATCATTAACAATTTTACTAACGGTTTTAGATGCTAGGCAAAAACCCTAACTCGTGCCAAATGATGAGTCACGACCTGTACGGCAAAATAGAATATTCTTAAATTCCCAGCCCAGGGTTACAATTAATCTGATGGAAATACACATGGGTTAGACAGTCTTCATCTCTAATCGCACCTCCGAGTCCCGCAAATTTTTCTGTTTCAGGAAAAGGACCAAGTTAAGAGGAAAAACAAGTGCTCAAGGCTTCATACTTCACCGCTCAAACACTTGGGGGACTGTATAATGAACACAGAACAGATACGTGCGGAAAATAGATACGTAAATCAAGAGACAAGTGTCGAGCAGAGGTTATGGAATCCCAGCATAAGCATACATCATAGTATTCTTTCCCATGAGAACAACAGAGTCACCTCTCAAACTCATGAGAACAATAGAGTCACCTCTCAAACCCTTCCTAATACATGAAGATGGGGTCATGACTATATACTGAAACGGGTTATAAGGGAAAACCTTGTCTAAATTATATTTACTTTGTAAAAATCTGTTACAAGAAAAACAGTTATGAGAAAGTTATAGATGTACTTTAATACATGTAATACTCAAAAGCTTGTTCAAGTTCATGAATAAAAACTTGTCAAAGTTGTGGCATACAAAACATGTGTATTCCTATTTCTTTCATCGTATTATAACACCATTATGAAGTTGAGACGTCTTCTTCATCAAGTGTAGATATATGAAAAGGGCCATCTTTTATAAACCTCATGTTAATAACTCATGAGAAGAATCATAAAGCAATTTCAAAGGATAAAAATGCTAAATTATTCTATAAGTCCTAAATAGATAAGAAAAAGGCAAGAATAGAACATATTGAAGTACCAAGAAAACTTCTTAAAAAAGACTAAGTAAAACTTAGTCAAGCAAAATGTTTTTACAAGTGCCCCATTATGATAACTGGGGACTTAACCAAAAAATCTCTTAAAAAGGTCAAGGGATAAAACCACCAATTAATAAAAAAACAACAAAGGAGTAAAATATTCAACTTGTCACTAAAGGGGTTGGAACTTCTGAAGTTGCAATGTCAACTTCACTTTCAGAAGCAGTTGTAGGCACGGTAGCAATTTCTGAGGAAGTAGCGGCAGTTGGGCTTGAAGTGTTAAAGTCACCGAGGGAAGCAAGAGTCACGGGAGCTTCAGCTTCCATTGTATCAGTGAAGTTTCACCCTCGGGAGCTGGAATTGTAACATTTTCAACTTCAACAGAAGCGGCTCCTTCATTTAAAGGTTCCTCAGCCACGGGAGTTTCATCTGCTGGAGAAAGGAAAGTCAAGTGGTTGTTGAGTCATTTCAATGGTTCTCAAAACCTTGGCCAATTCCGATTCTAAATCAAAGTTTTCTTGACTGGCTTCAGTTAAGGCATCACGGCGGGAGTTTAGAAAGGCCCAGCTCACCTCTGTGTTAAAGTTCTCCTCAAGAAGCTCATAATCCCTTTCCCACGAGGCAAGATCATTTTTTAACATTTGATTTTCAGCCAAAGTGGAATCAAGGGTAGCTTCAAGGGAGGCACGAGAATTCTCTAAGGCACGAACCTTATCAGAGGAAATTTGCAAGTCAGCCTGAGCCTGAGACAAGTTTTGAACTAGCTCTCCCGCGTACTCCTCTTTCTTGTTCAACAATACCTTAAGTTCTCTAATCTCTTCGCTTGACTTTGATAATTTTTCTGAAAAAGAACATTCAAGGCGCTCTTTATCCTTCTCAGCTTTACTAGAAGAAGCCTTGGCCCCCGCTAATTCAGAAGTCAGAATTTGCTTTTGCTGTTCCAGGTCACGGTTATTCTCTTGCAATTCTTTTATCTTTTTCTGAGCATTTTTAAACTGCTCTTTCCAATTGGTTGCCTCAAGCTGGGCTTCTCTAGCTATCCTCTCAGCCTCAAGAAAAGTCTGATCAGACTCGCGAGCCTTCTTTTCTAAGAGGGAAATTCTTCCCATCAATATCCCCAATTAAGGTTCAAGCTAAACATCTGCTCTGCCAGACTTTCTTAAAAGACTGCTATTAGCAGGAACCTCAAGTGTTACACTCCTCATAGCCATGCTTCTGCTACTAGAACCCTCCTCTGCATAATGAGCAAAGGAAGGGGGGACTATAGAAGGAGGAACGGTAGAAGAGGTAAAAATAGTAGTAGTCGAAGGAGTCGAGGCAGGTAAGGGAGCAGAAATTGACAAAGAGGCAGGAACAAACAAAGTGGGTAAGGAAACACTTGAAATTAGAGGAGGAACAGAAAGAACAGGAACGGAAGATGAAAGAGGAATTTCATCTAAAACCGGACCTAATTCACCACTTTCGAAGCCCTCAATAAAGAGGCGATGAGTGGATTCAGGGGTGTCCCTTGGAATGGTTTCTTCATCAGAGGTAATAGTAACGGGTTCGGAGGTACGAGCGGGAGAGATTTCAGTTTTATCCTTCTGGTTCTAGGACGAGCTGTCAAAGAGGTATCTTCATCTTCATCAACGTCAGAATCCTCTTCAACCACTTTCCTCTTTGACAGCGCGGCTTGTGTTCTTTCCAAAGCAAGAGGAGTACTGGAAGAAGCTCGAAGGGTGATAGCTACTTCAGCTGACATCCTTCGAATAGCAAATCCTGACAATAAGAAGGATAAAAAGTTAAAAGAGGGGAAAAGAATTTAACACACGAGAAACAAAAAGGGATGTATACCGTGAGTTTTCACTTTCCAACCATGTTTGTTGGAAATAGATTTCCATGTTCGTGCCTCCATAGGCACGGCTTTCAAGACAGCATCTACCCAACCACGGAAATTAGGAACGGGTTCCACATCTCCCATGGTTGCTACAAAAAAAGCAAAGGAATAATAATAAAATTAGAAGAGAAGTTGAAATAACGAAAGCAGATACGGCAAGGAAGAAAATACTTACGTGCAAAGTTCCATTTCTCAGGAAAAGGAATATCTGATTCACCCACCAAATCAATTGTGGGAACAGCAACAAACCGGGTGTACCATCCACGGTCGTTATTATCTTCAGGGTTAACCAAAACCTTCTTACTTCTTGCAGATAAGGTAAAAACACCATTGCGGAATAGCTTGGGGTGATAAAGATGAATAAGATGAGGGAAAGTAAAGTCAACATCAGCTTTGGTTGACATATACCTCAAACAAGCTACTGCACTCCATACGAGGGGACCAACTTGAGCCAAACAAATTTTGAAAAAATGACAGAAATCAGGTATGACTGGGACAATAGCAGGAATAAATCCCAAAGTAAAGGGATAAGTGTAAACGAAAGAAAAGCCAACCCTATAAGAAGATATTCTTTGGTGTGGGGTAGGAATAACTATGTGGGTGTCATCTCTCCAACGACAGTCTCTTCGAACAATTTGAATCAAAGGTTCAGTAATTAAAGAGGGATATTTATCAGCTCTCTCTAATTTAATCACTTGGTCACGAAGGGATTCTTTGTCATGTTCGAAAGATAAATCTGTTGGCACAATTTCTTCAACCAGAGGCTCTTGGTTAGACTCAGAAGGTTCTTTGCCCTTAGAAGAGGATCTGTTAGAAAGAGAGCCTCTAGAGATATTGCCAGAACTAGAAGAAGGAGTGATGGAACCAGAGGTACCACCACGAACCGACCCTGTACCACGAAGCACACCTCCTCTACCTCTTCTATGTCTAGCAGGAGCATTGGGGAAACTATCAAGAATTGGGACTCTTTTAGGGTTAGGATTTGAAGACGACATAGTGAGAAGATATGAACAGAAGGTATGAACTGAAGAAGAAGTGAACGAGAGTAAATAGGAAGAAATTTGGTAAAAAGCTTGTGAAGAAGAAGACAAAGGAAAAAGGGGGCAAGTTTATATATAAACTCAACCGTCGATAATTAAGAAGTGTAATGATGGAAAGCCTATAATAAAGGCAACTATCACTTCGTGAATAGTGGAGTTAAAGAAGCCTTAGAAAAAGGCTGCAAAATCGCGGAACTAATGAGAAGGTGACACGTATATGGTGCATTAAATAGAAGAGACAATTGAAGCGTCGACACTGTCATAGCATTGATTATGGCCAAAATTCCCTTTTTAATGAAGATTCACTTCCCAAATATTTAATTGATAAATAAATAGAAAGTGGGGGGACTATCTGTATAGGGAAAAAACTGAATTTATATTAAAGGTGACGTGGCATGACACGTGGACTGGTCAAATGGTCAAAACATGATGAACAGTTAAGAGGCACGGGTGATATCAGATACGAGGAGAAGAAAGTTAAATAGGCACGAGATGCTATTCAAATGATACGAGTCTCGTATCTATTTAACTTAATTAAAGTCAGGAGGTCAGAAGGAATTGAAGATATGAATCTGATGGCATAAAAAAGTCTAAATTCAGTATTAAATGTCAAATACGTTAGGGAATCAGTATTGAATAGGAATGATTGTGTAACGTTTCATTTAATGTCATTTAATGCTCATAATTGCCTCTTTAAGGCTAAGGCATTATACCTTTTCCTAGAAAAATCAACTATAAAAGGAGGAGGTCTCAGCATTTGTAGGGACACGAAAAATCATTGAGATTACATTGAAATACAAACTTATTTACTGCTTTATTATCCTCAAAAATTTCTTATTCTTTTCGTCTCCTGATCATCAGTAACCCGATTTTTTCTCTTAATTTCTAGTTTTAGCCGAAATTCTATTTTTTGGTTAAACAAGTTATACATAATCCCCCTATATTTAAGATTCACTTCCTTTCCAAAAGGATATCAAAAACATCTTCCAATTTTGTACTTACGAATTCTCCCTTCCAATTTTGTACTTACCCACCGCAAGAATTCTCCCTTACCCACTGATGCCCAAAATCTTTCTAACCCAAAAATCTCGCTTACTCACTCCTCTTCCAAAGCTTTTGATATCCGATTTCTCTCTTTCAATCATCCACTATTATCCCCCAAAAATTGCAGATTCTTTCTTCTTCCAAATCTTTTGATACCGATTTCTCTCTTTCAATCATCCAAAATCTCAATACAGAAGAAATTCGAAATTTTGCTCTACAATCAAGTTGTGGGTAAGTTGTGGATACAATACTAATACAATTATAATACTATTATATTAAATTTTTAGTGTAGAGTTGTGATTGAAACTTGAGGAAAATAAAGATCATAATTGTATCACATTTTTTAGAAATGTATCGCGATTGTATTATAATTGTATATGTATCATAATTGTTGCAGGAATTGTATTACAAATGTATGATAATTGTATATTCATTGTATATTGTTACGAGCAGTTGTGAATTTGTGACGAATTTCACAATTTGTACACAAATATGATAATTGTATATTAATTTATTAGTATTGTATCAGGTATTATTTTGGGTATTAATGTACCACATACAAGTTAGATACAATTGTGATACAAGTATGATACATTTATGTTCTAGGCATTGATGTATCTAATACAATTCAACTACAATTATGATACAGTTATCATACAATTTCTGAATATTTTTTAATAATATAAAGCTGTAGGCAGTGGTGAAGAGAGAAGATGGAGATTCTGGACGTAGATTAAGGGATTTTGATTTTTAAAAAAGGAGAGAGAAGAGGAGAAGGGAAAAAAAAAGAAAAGGATGTAATTGAATCCCTTAATTGAAGGCACTAATAACGGGGTGAGAGCCCTTTAAGAAGCAATGTATACAAGTTGTAAGAAAAACCTAGATATTAAAAACTGCAAAACATAGAGAACATAGGTAAATAAGTTTTTAATATAGTATAACTAGGTAAAAATCCCAATATTAATTTATTAATTAAAAGGCTCTCGGGCCAAATGATTAAGTGGGTGTTCGGACATAAGAATTGTAAAATTTCGAAAAAAGTGAATTTTTTTTTAAAGTAAAAATGATATTTGAAAATTAGAATTGTGTTTGGATATGAATTTTTTGGGTTGTTTTTGAATTTTTGTGAGTGATCTGAAGTAAAAATTTTGAAAAATAGCTTTTTGGAGTTTTTCAAAATTTTGAAAAAAATCTGATATTCATCTTCAAGTGAATCGAAAATTTCATGCCCAAATATTAATTTCGAAAAAAAGTAAAAAAAAAAAATCAATAAAACTGAATCTTTTTTATGGCCAAACGAGCCCTAAGACGTCAAGTTGAAAACAAGTGTAGTTTAAAAACGAAACATAAAAACTATAAGCTTCATCTATGTAAAGGCTAGTATTTTACTTTCTTTGATACTCTGAATAAGCAAAAGTTTAAGTAGTTACTTCTGTATTATTTTATTTGACACTATCTTTTTCTTAGTTTTTATATTTAAATAATAAAATTTTGATTTGAGTTATTTATTTTACGCTTAATGATATACTTTTATAACTAGAAACTCAAGTTTAACACTGCAATTTATAAAAAAATTCTTAAACTCTATGCCAAGTGAAATTCCGCCACATAAGTTGTAACTGACGAAGTATATGTAGGTCATTATTTTTTCGAGAAAACGACACGTTAGGTGCATAACAACAACTGTTGTCGCTACTGTGTTAAAACACAAAATTAGAAAGACTGTTAGAAGATAAACTGGAAAAACAGTAAACTATAAAAAAAAATATTCCTAGTCCACAATTTGCTTATGCGTCCTTAAGGAATTTTAACCCCCTCACACGTTGCTAAGATAACGGATTAAATCCTCCCAGGATGAAACGGAATGAACCTTCCTGCAACAGTGGCAATACAAACTGCAGGATACCAACGAACTCAAAGAACGGAGCAAAATCATACTTACGAATTTGAGAGAGAGAGATTGCGAAGTAGAATGCAGTATTCAGAAGGAAGGAAGTTCTATTATTTTTCAGTGTCGAAAAAGAAGTCATGCCTCAGAATTTATAGGCAATTATCGGAAGAGGTGTGATGTCTGTTTAGGAAAAAGTGTCTGTTCAGGAGGAAAAACAATGTTCAGCAAAGGCAGCGTGAATTTGAATTTCAGTTAATT